ACATTCGAACTGGTGCCACATCTTACGAGGAATTTGACGCCGTCGTTGTTGCAACTGGATATACCCGAAACATGCATCAGACCATCCTCCAGAACACCAAGCACATGTTGAAGAAGGATGCTAAGTCTGGAATCGAAAGCTGGGCTGTCTCGCGTGAATACAAGCTCCAATATGAGGAGGGTAGAGTCGCTCCAGAAGCTGGAGTATGGCTCCAGGGGTGCTGTGAGACAACACATGGGGTAAGCACATCAATCCATTACCCTGAACTACTCTTTTTAGCTTGTTTCGTTTACCCCCATGCAAATATGCACACGTGCTAACATGAATCTGCCCCGCATCAGCTGAGCGACTCTCTTCTCTCGATCCTTGCAGTTCGAGGCGGTGAAATGGTGGACTCCATCTTTGGAAAGGCTGATGCCGCCATTGACTCACCACTCCCCACCCCGGCTGCCTTTCAAAAGGTGCAGCTGAATGGTCACTCAAATGGCCTCCAAGCCACCACCAATGGCAAGGTCGTCACACCGACAAAAGATGCGGCTCTCATCGCCCCCGATAACAAGCGCAACTCTGCTACCCCTTCAGCGAAGAAAGAAGTCCAATCAAGTTAGTTTTTTTTTTTTAAAAAATCATTATTTTACCCATCTGATTGATTTTGATTTTGGTTTCTAATGTGCTGTTGACTGTTTAGCATGGCGGAATTTGGGCCTGAGAATCAGCGGCCGCAAATAAATTTGTGCATATTCATGGAGAGAGATCTAGAGAGAATCGACGGCTTTCTCTTGATCGATCTATAAGGTAAAAAAAAAGCAAGTGCATGGTAATAATATATAATTTTATGATTATTATATTTCGGGAGGAAAAAAAAGAAGCTGAAGTGGATCCGCGCCGGATCCGGAAATTGGGAAGTTCAATACGCGGGTATAGGGAGCTGGGAACATTTTGAATTCGAAAAAAAGGGAAGGGTATACGGTATTGGTATTGGTATTTGGCCATGGGCAAGAGGAGGAACCACAACAAACAAAAAAAAGCTTAAGGGTCATCATGCATGGAGTCTTTTTTTTCTTTTTTGTATATGTTTCTAAAATGTTTGCTGCTGTTTTTTTGTCGTTGTTGATTGATTGATGCTGTTGTTTCTTTTGCTTGCTGTTTTTGTTAGCTCTCTGTTTGTTGTTGTTGTATTGGCCTTTTTCTTTTTGGATCTTGATTTCTCTTATTGCGTTTGCTGGTTTGATTTGATATCTCATACATATATTACCCCTACTTACTTAGCTATGTTGTCTTTATATTATTCATATATTAAGCATTTTTTTCTCATCTTGAACAAAAATGATTTATTTGCTCTGGCTTGGTTATATCTGAATTCGTGCCTACGAGGTTAATTCATCACAACCGCCAACCACCACGGTTCTCAATCAGTGCAGCTAGTGAGCATGATGAACTGGGTTTGAACTTTCCCGCATTTTGACACTTGAACAGATTTTGGGATGTCGTGAGAACCTACTTAGGAAGGAGGCATATTTAACACAAAACACATGTGCATGCGTATGTTGTTTCGAGCTCAAGAGTTACTTGTGATGATGGTAAGTAGGGTATACGTACCTATGTATGTCGTTTATCACATTGAAAAGGTTTGGCATCACAAGATATCCTCTGTTGACTTTTCCTTTTTTCATTTTAGTGTATGTGTTGTGGGTGTGGAAACATGCCCAGGTTTCCGTGCACCCAGCAAAAACACCAACACCCGGAAGATCATAACCAGTACCAAAGGTAGTAAGTAATCCAATGATCCATGAATATTCAGCCAATGGGAAATATCGTATTCTCGCATTTCTCAGCAAATAGATTACCTCTGTGTGTGGAGGGGTAGCCTAGGCCTCGTGGAGGGGAGGGTGTCAAGGAAACTGGCCCATGCATGGCCAGGTGGGGTGTTTGCTGGGCGCTTGGTGGGTGTGCGTAAGTTCTGGTAGAGGATAGTAGAGTAGGAAGAATGTATGTATGTATGGGTGGGTGTCCTGTCCTGTCCCCCGGCCCCAGTTCCGGAATAAATGCGAGACTGCATGCATGCACATGATCGTTTAATTGCTTGTTTCTTTTTCTCATTGGGGTCGGTATGTTAACTGTATCGAGTCTGATGATGATGGGTGGGTGTGTGGGTCGATAAACACCCAGATCTGTCCATCCATCCATCCATCCATCATGATGCATGGATATCTTTGATCCGTCATGGCCCTAGGAAGAGTGTGGTACTCCACCACGAAACATCCGTGTAGGTATGGGTGTGTGTGTGTGTGTGTAGGGTGTAGGGGAGAGGGGGGGGGCAGGCAGGGCCATGCTGTCTGGCTGGGGTGCACACTGCAAGTTGTTTGCATGGCATGCTCCAAGATAATTCGTTTTTGTACTCTAGTATTTCGTTTCTCCGGAATGGATCCAAGAAATGACCCCCATACACATATGCATGGAGAGATGGCTCGAAAGATACCCATGCAGGATCCTGGAATATTATGTGATGGTGTGATTGATTAAAGAGCCAATTATATGCCTCAAAATCTGCTGATTGTACATATTTCTCGAGATCCATCATCCCCCCGTCACGGGTCGGTTTTTGTTTTTTTGATTGGTTGAATGCTTGGGAAGTGGGCCGTGGTGGCCAAGATATCGATAAAATGTTAATCCAACTCGAGAATAGTACATGTTTGTTGCTTTGGTGTTTCTCGTCAAATGCATGTGCATACATAAGTGATTATGATAGTCGTATATGCATATTTCTTGAAGATATCGTTGATGTCATGCGTTTGAATATGGAGCTTCATTGAGGTGTTGTAGTGTTGTATGGTTATCTGAACCAAAAACTTAGAAATGTCTCGTAACACGTGGAAAATACTATCATTATTGCTGGATGGAGTATACCGCGGTGGATGAACATGTGATTGTTCTATAAGTGCCACCAAGATAAGGCTTTTCTTGAAGCACGATATCCAAAGAGCTTCTCGTTTTTGTTTGATATATTCATGAGTTATTTAGAAGGCGTGATGTCGAGAGCGGCCAGTCAAGGGCATGGCATAAGTGAATCCAAAGCTGACGTTAACCAGCGGTTGGCCACATTTGTGCATGTGCATTTTCCGAAGCGTATGTTCGGTAAAGTAAAGCCGGCCGCGATGGCATGAAATTGCATATTGTGCAACTTGTAAATAACTTGGTTGATAGTCCTTAATAGTTTTCAGACTATGTGCGAGATTCGTTCACCGTCATGTAGATCGCGACGTTGCGTATACTTCCTACACTGCTTCCTACACTGGAAAGTCAATTCCTATAGGCTGGCCGCGACTTCCCAAAAAGGAAATACCCAACTCTTGGCGGTGATATGTTAGCAAATTGGGTTCAACTGACCAAAAAGAGGTACCGGCCGCGGTTATACAGCAGTGATTCCAACCAATGATAATCGCGAGAATTCGAATTACTCGCCCTCGCTCACTCTTCCGATCACGGCACCAGCCCCCCCGGAAACAGGCAGCCCATTTTTCTTTATGCTTGGTCGGTAGCACACATGCATCTGAACATCTCCATACCTAATGCTAGCAAAAGGCAACCGATTTTCCAGTTCGTGATCAGAACCAGGGTATCAAGTCATCCTGTTGCGAGAAAGCGAAAAAAAAAGAAAAACCTCGAGGAGCCGACCGATCTAGAGAAATCTATGATACTGTTAGTCAAAAAAGCAAAAACAACAGTTTTGCGAAGTCTTTTCAACCAATCATATCAGAGCGTTTACAAATGCCACCCCATGGCACACACCAGCTTACTCGAGGCGAGAAGGGGGCACGGGACTGGGAAGGGGGATTATCAAGGAAAATGAAAAAGGAAATATCACATTACCGGAAACGGGGCTGAACATACATCATGTACCTTTGGTCTCACTCCCCACACCCACTTTCAGTGCGGTAATATCCTGATCATAATCATGATCAAGCGATGGGTTATCATTGCTGTTCCCTCATGGCCATGTCCACATGATGCAAACAGGCTTCCCAGAGTCAGAACTGACTACCAACCTATTTCCAAAATCATCAGTAAATGCATATGATCGTTCCACAAACATCCGTCTTTCCTTCCTTCCATGCATGAACCCTACTAACCCCCGCTCGTACCAATGCCTTGAAAATTGTTGTTGTACGCTTTGTGGGGAAATGAAAACAACCAGTCGGAAGAGAGGTTTTACCAATCCTCCGGATTATTGATCCTACTTTACTTCCTACCCCCAGTATCCCCGGTTAGCAAAGAAACTCAATGATGTATGTGTAGCTATCGGAAAAATATACCTATGGATGTGAAAAGCAAAATGTTACAGGCTTGTGATTGCAGTACGTACCCAATTTATCAGATTCTGTAGAATGTCTTCCATGACCCCGTGATAGAGGTTAGAGGTTATTGAGTGGTGATCCCAATTCTTCCCCGTACTTAATGTATAGATCCCTAGAATCAATCGTGGATGCCAGTCTCGGGCTCGTCCCCAGGCGTCATAGACGTTGTTAGTGAATCTGGGTATCTGGTAGGCAGGGTAGAAAGGTGTTTTGCATCAGCAAAAGAACTTGCTATTTCACAGGCCGAAGGACGGAAAGGTACAAGGATTAGTAGCGTTTTCGGGCGCACAATTCAGGGTAACCACCAAGAAAGCTGAGCACTGTGGGTAAATGCTAGAAGGTTTTGAGACGTCTGAAGAGAGCAGGGACGAACTGAAGATCGAAGGAAAGTTAGGAGATTAAAGCTAGTGCCAAGTCGATTAAAGGAAAGATTCTGAGTTAAAGGAGGAAAGGTTCTTGGAGGAGGCTACCAGTTTAGGAGGTACCTGGTAAGTGATCAATCTGTGACGTGGTACTTAGCCTCGCTCTCCTGTGAGCATGATGCTTCCCAAAAAGGACACTTCTCATCGCCTCTAACGTAATCTCGTGAGCTCTCTACTCCCGCAGGTGGAAAAAGAGTCAATCCAAAAGCAAAAAAGATATTGTCGACACCGACGGGATTCGAACCCGCGATCTTTGCCAGATCCACTCCGGAAAGCAACGCCTTACCATTAGGCCACGATGCCAATTGATATAATTAGAGGTACAGTTTAATCCATGAGCCTGTATAGTCTCTCTGCACAAACTTCTGCAACTTTTTGTATCGAGATGAGAATTTGCGAGTGTGTTGTACTCGACAAGTTGATCTCTCTCGACAAGCGTGAACGAAAAAGATGGTTAGATTGAAACAATACCAACGTTTACCATGGTGGAAGTTGAAGAGGGAGTGCCTACGTTTTAACAAGTTAATCCATGTAAATATAATATGTGGTAACAACATGATCAGCGATATCGATACGAGAAAGCGTATCCAACTTCTTTAAGTTCCTGCCTAAATGCAAGCACTTATAAGCTGCTTGTGATGCAGATTCTCATTAATTTTCAATTGATGCCCCAATTCTTCTAAGGGTCAGCCGAAATCCATTTTGAGAAATATCTATATGATCATCGTCGAATATGCCTATTCCGGTAAGTGGTTGATCCTCAGCCGGATTAACGTTAGCTTGCTCGATGCCTCGGCTCTAAAACGAAGGATAACCGAGGAGGGCAACTCTCGAGCGATTGGGCCTCAATGGCTACAGGTATCCGGGCACGAGATCACAGGTATCCCATACATCAACGCTCATATTCCAAACCCTCCAAATATAAGCCAGATCATATCAAATAAGCCCTATCCATGGCAACCAATGTCAATCAAAGCGGGTCGACTGGTTTCAGCTTACCTCCAGTTGATGTAGCATGGATGAAGCGAGACTTGCTACTCTTTGCAAACAGCATCGGGGTGCTAGCTGATGAACTGCACTTTCTCTATGTAAATTCCCAGTCGTCAAACCATACATTCATCGAGTTTCGCGGATTGACCTAGCGAAGTTAACTGACCATATACTAACGTCATTTTGTGCAAATAATGTATTAGGAGCTTCATCCATCCTTCTCAGCCTTCCCAACTTACCCAATTGTCCTCTCATTCAAACATACCGACCAAGATGTCATTGACTTTTATGCCCGAACACTTGCGGCTTCTGCAGGAAAATTTGCATTCCCAGAAGGGATTCCCCGTCCGGATCCAAAAAGAACTGTAGATGGACAACGCCACCTAACGGTCATCAAACCAATTCCTTTTGAGGGAAAGAAGGGCGAGTGGGAGCTTCGAGCAAGGTGTTTGGGGGTGTATGATAAAGGGAAGGCGGGAATGGTCACCGAGATGGAGACTTTGTTGGTGGAGAAGAAAACTGGGGAAGTCTACACAAAGATTGTGAGTTCAAGCTTCTCAGTCGGACAGGGCGGCTGGGGTGGGCCAAAAGGTAAGATCCACTTTCTTGAGCGTTGTTATTGGTAGAAACATATTTGGCGACGTTTGCTGAAATGTTGAAATTATGTAGGTCCACCAACGGTGAATTACCCTCCACCTCAGGGTAAGTTACCCGATGCAACATATACCCAAGCAACCTCAGCCCAATCTGCTCTCTTGTACAGGTACACTTTCTTTGCTCCAATGCAGATTAAATCAAGTAATCTGATCTCGAGATCCCAGTTAACATTTCCATGCAGACTTAATGGCGACTATAACCCTCTCCATGCCGACCCTTCTGTCGGCGCCAGCATGCGTTTCCCTGGAGCAATCATGCACGGACTATACACCTGGAATAGCTCATGTCATGCGATTCTTCGTTCATTTGGTGGCAGTCAGCCAGAGCGACTTCTAGAGTTCCAGGCTCGCTTCGCAAGTATTGTGATTCCCGGTGATACGTTGGTCATTGATATGTGGCGGACTGGCAAGAAGGTTGGAGAAGGGGAGGAGATTATATTTGTGACAAAGGTCAAGGAGACTGGGAAAGTGGTTTTGAGCAATGGAAGAGCGGTTGTGAAGTTAGTTGGTAGTGATAGTAAGCTGTAAGCCTGGAGTAGTTGTAGCTAGTTCTTCCTCAGGCAAGCAGTAGGGCCAATGTAGTTTCGTTTCAATTGAAAATATAGCCACAAAGCTGAGATCTGATGCAAACATGTGAGATCCTGCTTACAGGAAATCGCGGAGAATGTAGTCTCACTCCGAGGAATATTGAGAAGAGCTTTAGAAAGTCAGGCACGAGGCTAAGAATGTCATATCCTAAGACCGTGATGTACCGGCAAGTGGACGTCGGTTTGCTTCGGCTGTTACTTCTCAGTAGAAGCGACATAGTCTCGTTGCCTGATCCTTCGGTGTTCTATCCTTCGGAGGGAAGCGGCGAGTCTAGTAGAAGTGGAATACGCATAAAATGCCTGAAAGGGTATCGCCACATAATTCTGCCTATTTAGGAAGTCCTTCGTTCCAGACCCGCCAAGGCCGAGTTCTTCCTTTCACTTTGCCATCACGACTGCTTTGCCTCTCCATAGCCTCCCTCTCCAACTTTGTCAAAACCCACGAATGGGAATAAATCCACGGGAATATTACAACTCGAGGCTTCATCCAACGGCATACCTAGATTTACCACGACCATGAACCGAGAACATCCTCCTCTCACAGCTACACAGCCTCAACCAGTTTTCCTCAGAACCGGTTACCCTCACACATTATATTATCAGGATCCTACCAGTCCTTAAGCATCACATATTTAACTCTAATCTCAGGGACGAGGCTAAAGTTCTCCCAAGGTCAGTTTCTAGACAACTCATCGTCTCCTAGGCCTCTAGATCCTGAGTCCATCCTATAGTGGCAAGTATTGCTCTCCCCAGCCGCTCATTTATCCTATTCGTTTCCTACCAAATTCTTACAATTATATCGTTCCAGGAGCTAAGTCTTGTGATTTCTTTCCGTGTGCGTAGACGTCATGGGTCCTGCCTGGCTTTAGGCATCCATCCGAAGGCCCACAGTATACCTAGTTTGACACGTTTACCAACTTCAAGGGGGAAACACATTCACTCAAGTAGTCTTGTGGCGCTCAAGAACGTAAGGAAATATGCTCAAATATACTATCCGAGGAATTAAAGGCTCAAGCACCCGAAAACGCCATGTAATACCTCAGCTGCAAGTACTGCCACGTCATATCAGATTCAATTAACTCCCTTCACATGGAGATTCTGGAAATTATATTGCCACCATACATAGAAAGTTGCCCAGGCCCACCAACCACACCACTCCTTTGAGGCCTACTACCTTCAAGAAATCAGCTCGATACCGTGCTACAATTCGTTCACTGGCGTTTTGATTGGTCACACAGAAGTAATACTATCAAGTACATGTACATGTGCTTCTAAAATACCATTTCAGGAACACATAATTGGATATCTAGCCAATTCGTTTTTCTGAATAGTAACCTTTATGGAACCGATACCAAAATAATGAGCTGGCCACTAGGCGAAGAAAAAATGACTTGTACTTTCTGCAGTGGTATCAGCCATATACTTTAACTTACCCAGGCCGCACCTTAATAGATGGTTGGCATGTACTGACTGCTTGGACTCAGAAGCCGAATGGCTGGCTAAGTGTGAATCTCTCAGGAAACTCAAGCATGACTCAGGACCCAGCTCGCCTTGATTTTCTGGATTAATGGCACAGCTGCAAAATAGGATTGGGTTTGCTCAATTGCAATGCACGATATCTGCTTTGAGAGGCTGAAAACTCGGATATCTACAAATCCCACCCTATGAATCTTCGGTTGCAGGTGCGCACGTTTTACCTGCTGCGCCCCTTTGATGCTGCGCCTTCTTCGGCAGATCATGATCTACAGCTACCTGAGTTCCCTTTCAACAGTTACGCACGCAACATTGCCTTTGGTTGCGGAGAATATCAATGCACGACCGTTTGGCGGCGGCGATCAGGGACAACTTTGTGGAGGTCAACCTGCCTATTTGGGAATTTGAAATGGAGGGGACGAGAATATGGCAGTGGAAGAGTTTAGGCACTGGGGCTATGACAGGGTGGAGATGGCTAATGCACATCAAATCATTGAGAACAGTTTTGCAGCTGATGTGAGAGCCGCTCGTATCATTAATCCACAAAAATTGGCGATGCAGCACGTCTTTGTGAGTTGTTCCAGATCAGACTCCTATTTAATCATTGAGCGGAACTTATACTGTACAATTATTGGTACCATGTCCAGTACACACACACGTCGTCCCTATGGGCGCTAAAGCTGACTAGGCGAAAACCCTCCTCCTGTTGACAGCCATCGCCCAGACTAAGCTCCACATACGTACGATACATGTCTGTGTGTAGAATATAAACCATTCACCTTGATAGTACGAGAACAGCAAAGTTCCCTTGGATTTTCGAACCCAAACCTGGTCTGTGCAGTGAGAGGCTTTAAGCACCAATGATGGGACCCTTCGAGGAATTTAGGGGGGGATGAGACAGTCATTTGTTGGTCGGGAACAAGGGTACCCAAGTGGGGGTAAAGCAAGGTCAGTTCGAAAGAGACTTGGGCTTTTGAACTCTGATTATTATGTGGGTTAATTTACAAGTGCCGACCTGAGTTACCCTATCAGTATAAGCACTTTCCCCCTTTCGAATTCACTAATCTTCTAACAGTACTCTTCTGACAGACATCTCGAATAAGATTTATAAAATACTGAAACCCAATAAAGATGACTGCGATATGGGAGTTGGTTGAGGCATCAGTGCCCTGTACTCAAGTGCTACCTATGATTATGGATATGATTTTTCTATGGCATATCTCCGGAGTTTGTCATATCGACTAACTGCATGTTATTTGGGGAGGCACGGATACTTAAATTTGTAAGTGCTATTATTCCTGAGATTAATTTAGAGGTCGAAGTACTTTCATGGGCGATCACCTTTAAAGATCGACAGGCCCTTAATTCTTTTTAATATGCATGCATGGATATAGTTACGATCTTAAATAAAGCTTAAGATGTGCTTCTAACAATACCTACCTACGAGTAGGTACATACATACAGTAGACCAACGAAAGTGTCCGGATAGAGCTAACGAAATCTCCACACGCATTTATCACCAACTATGGAGTCCGAGTGCTCTCCTTGTTGCCAAGTGAATCACCTGAGCTTAAATGGTTGCACTTCGCTTCAACTG